CCCCCCACCCCAAAAAAAAAAATCCAATTCGCCTTTGACGTCATAAACGTTTTGGTTGGAACTAGCTTTAATGGAAATAGAATTCATTCACACAACCTAAATCTTGTGCAGGCCTATCTCCAATACTAATTACCATCTAGAATCACATATTGAGCTTCAAAACATTGCACCGACAAACTTTAATCGTTTTCTGACCAAAAAGCAAAACCATTCTGGAAAGAGGAAGAAACTGTTTCATTCTTATAACTATTGCACCTTAATTGTGTATAGTTTTTTTTTTCTTCTACTTCTTATGACATTAAGAATCTATTTGAATTTTAACCAAATATTTCTCGAGCAAATGCAACCACGGCTTAACTAGTTTATTTCAAAGTGCGACAGGTCCTTTAAGAATTAAGCGTGCGTTATTCCTGGAATCCGATCACCATTCGTTACAAATATCCTCTTGTAAAAAAAATGTGCATGACAAACAAAACAACAACAAAAAACTAACCAAAACCCTTACGCAAAATAAAGACTTGCTTTATCTGCCAGTGCATTCTGGCTGGGTGAACAGTGCTTCCACGAGTGAACTAAATAACCCCAGACCTGGAATAGAGTATGGAAGACTGTGTGGAAGAGGGTAAGGAAGAGGAAATTTATGCAACCCCCTGAGGTACATATTAAACTAAATTACGACAAAATACATAGAGAATAAATCAAGAAAAAAGAAATATATCATGAATACATTAACCTGAATACAACTTATAAAAACATGTTCCGTTTGAAGAGACTTAAAAATGTATTATTTTTATATTTTGTCAAGATGGGCATAAAAGAAATTGATAAGTAACATTGCACCAGGGCCTTAAACAACATTAAACCATCCTTTTAAAATAATTGTCCCTTCTTTCAGTCCAACAAACGTGTTCAAGAATGGCCCATTCAGGATTCAATGAAAAGTCACCCAACCACTCCGCCCTGATTTGACATAGTTTGACAAACAAAGATATGAATATAGTTGAAAATGTTACTCCGAGCA